ACATTCTTGCAGAAAGTCCTCAAATATTCCACAAAGCACATGATGGGGGGGGTGTCAGTTTAGTGGTCCCGGCTTTTATCCAAAGTAGAATAAATATTTTACCTTGGATTAAAGACTCTGCTGACTACATAAACATGACTCTTTATCAGCACAATCACAATAATACTAAAGATATAACACCCCCAGCAATGCTACATCGGATCCAAAGTCTGGCTCAGTTTGATAAACAGAAGCCAGCGGATCTTCATCAAGACTTTATCAAAACTTGTCATTGGTATTATTATTAATAATTTTTTTTATTTTGTTGTTGTTTGTGAAGTGTATTTATTGTGTTGTTTCTGCTGCATCAAAGGAATTTCCCTTTCCTTAATAAAGTACTTTGAATTGGAAAAAAAAGTCTAGTGTTGTCAGTAGAAGATTCTGGTCCTAACCCTGTCCATCACATATCACCAGCAGGTTAAACCCTCCCTCAGCTGCCCACTCTGAAAGCTGTGGGAAGATGCTCCACAGTCTCCACTAGGGACGTCCCCCTCCAGCTTTCTGATCCGATCCCGGCCTATCAGAGCCTGTACTAAAGTCTAAAGTTATTTATCTACTTACTTAGTTGTCAGACTCGGTTGAACAGGGATTTACTCTGATAACAACTTAATGGTTAGGACACAGACCTGTGGTTACAGATGCTAATGCTAATGCTAATGCTCGTGTGGGATTGGACTTAAAAAAAAACTGGATCTGCAGTCTGGATCTGCATTTTCTCCTGTCGGCCGATCCGATCCAGATATCGGATCGGGACCAGCTTAGGCTCCACCAGCTACCCCCCCTCCAGGACTCCCCCCACAAATGGATGATGGAGCCCTTTATGGAAACACAAATGATCAGGCTGCTGCAGCCCCGAAAAGCAGAGGTGACCTGTTCAGGAGTTTCCTGCCTGAAAGGTGGCTACATGTTAGCATGCTAACACCTCCGTTCCACTCACCAAAGGTCCCGTAGAAGCCTCGAGGACCACAGGTTCCAACACCGTATTTTTTCAGGGACGCCAAAGCTTTTTGCTTTAAGGGAGAACAAAAACAAGTTGTCAGTGAATCAGAAAGACGGATGGAGACGGGCAGAGATGAGATCATCCCTCCTGACCTTGACACGCTCGTTGTCCAGGAGACCCAGGAAGTTAAAGGAGGCAAAGTTAATGCACTCCTTTCCATTGATTATGATTTTGTGGCTGGGAGGTCTGTAAAGAACAACAGAGTCAAACAACTTAACCCGGAAGTCTTCAACAGGGGGTCTGAGACCCCTAGGGGGTCTTGGAGGTTCTGCATGGGGGTCGCCAAAGTTTTGGTTGATCAGACTTTTTTTTGCAATGTTTTCCACTAATGTAAATGTGTTTAAATCCACATGAAGATGAGTCCAACAGACTGTAGTAAACAGATAAATGGAGGCAAAAGATGTCTTCCAGTCATCAACGCTCACATTCAGCCACACACAGGAGCTCTATCTATCTATCTATCTATCTATCTATCTATCTATCTATCTATCT